AGCATGTACTATGGGAGGGAGGCATCATGGCACACTGCATTTGTTCCTAGTGATTACCCTGCTGTTCAACCTTACTTTATTTTAAAGAGACAACAGTGTTACCTGTTAGCACTAGAAAAACCTCCCTTTCTCCCCATCCCACCAGCAAAAATTGTCATGAGCCTTTTTGCAAACTGCAGCCCCAGAGCTAACCCCAGACATGCTGGGCTTCCTTCTAGTGCAACCAACCAGCCTTCTCTACTTCCATAGCTTTATAGTATGGCTTTATAGTAAAATCCTGCTCTGGAGTTGTTCCTCCTCAGTTTCAGTCCAAAGATAATTTTTTTTTAATACTTTCTCCAGATCCTAGCAGCCCATTTACGTAAATATAAAAATAAAAGTTTTTTGGATTAAGAAAAAAGAAAAAAAGTACTTGACTAATTCATAAGTGGGCAAGTCTGCAACAGACAGGTTTTAAAATAATGTTGGCGAGAGCTTGGGGGAAAGAGAAGGAAGGTCTATTCAGGAAAAGATCAATAGTTCTTCTGGTGGTTTCTTGTTTCAATACAGCATGGTAAAACTGTTCAAAGGAAACCTAACACAAGCAGTAATGATTAAGCAACAAAAGTCCCCATTCCTTATAATTACAGCTCAGTGTGATACCGGCCTTTAGCAAATACGTCATTTTCTTCACTGCAGTGTTAACAAGCCCAAGGCACAGCCTGAATGTTGCCTCTGATCCGACTGCCGTGTGCACAGGTTCCTTTGGTTTGAGTTGAATGAGTTTATGTGCTCGATAATTGCTTGGGGTAGGTGCGGGTAGAAGCTGCATCCTCTGAGCTTGTCCTGTGCTGGTGACTTGCTTGCTGCACTGACTGCTGCTGCACTAGCTCTAGCAGTGCTTCACTGCCACGGGAGTTCTCTCAAGTGTGCTTGGATTAGTTTAACCCCATGATGAGGGGCAGCTCTGCTCAGCAGTGTATGTAGTTACAAAGGCCACTGCTCTTGGGTGCTCTGGCAACTTGCAATGCCTACAGAGATGCTGAGGAATATGCTGGAGGGACAAGTACCTCTGGTTGTGCAAGTGGCAGTGTGGTGGTGTCCCTGGTTGCCAAAGGGCAGTACAGCCCAGGGACTTGTCTGATGATATTGTCAGGTTTTAAACTGCTGTAGAATCTGAAATGTCATGTCTCTAATGGTAAGAACTGCAGCGCATGAACATTGGTCTTTTGCTTCCTTAACTCAGATTTAGTTCAAAGCCTTAGAGACATTTCTAGCAAAATCACAAATTTTAAGAGCAGAAGAAATTACTGGAGCCTTGAATTTCTTTCCTAGTGTAGTTGCAGTACTCATGTCTTGAGCCCAGTGATGTGGGTTTGACAGTCTCCACAAGAGAAATTGTCACTTTTCTTGTCAATTGTTCCTGAGGTTAATTACCTATGACATTAAAAGTACAATCCTTATTCCTCTGTTAAATTTGTTTGGCTTTGACTTGAGCACATTGCTTCCTATTATGTGTTTCTGTTCTGGATTATAGAGTCTCTGGTGCTTTATGGATTACTGCCTTAAAGAACTGGAAAATGGAGTCATTGCTTTCTTTTTCCAGCATGACAAACAAATTGAATTGTATGAGTCTTTCACTGGAAAAGTCTTTCCATCCCCTGAAATGTTTTTGTGGCTGCTTTCTTCATCATCTCCAGATTTTCAAGCAATTCTAGTAGAGGTGTATGGACTAGAAATGGAAAAATGTCAGCCTTTACACTCTAGAGCAATGATGTGTGGCCTTTTCCCCACACCTTTTCCACACACCTTGTTGCCCATGTTATGTAAACATGACGCATGACACTGGGGGGTGAATTGCTAATGAGTTCCCTTTCTGAATATCTCTTCTAAGCTTGTGCCTCAAGGTGTTTCAGTGGTCAGTCGTAGGACAGCCTGGACTATGTAGAAAGGGCTCCTGGGCTGGTAGGTAGGCAGGTGTGCTCCTGCTTATAGCCTTCAGTCAAAACATGATCTTCACAAATGGGAAGTCCAGCCTCTTTCCTGAGTGCTGCCCCAGAGTTTCTCTCAGGTTCCTGCCCTGGGAACCTTTATTCCCAGCCAGTCAGAATTTGCTAAGTGTAAACAGGAGCAGCTGTGGCAATTCCTTGTTCAGCTTTTTCCTTTGCTTCGTGCTGACTGATCACAGGAGAAGGTTGGAACTTTGCTGCAAGACTAATGGCTTCCCAGCACTACTCTCTACTTCCATGGTGGTGGAAGGAGAAGGGAGCTGCTGATGACCAGCTCTCCAATGGTTTGCAGGCTTTCTCCTGTGCTCTATATCGAGAAAGGGAATAGGGTGTTCCCTCTGGACAAGCAAAGTCTTCCCTTAGCCCACTGCAGTGGTTTAGCTCCAGGCTTGATGGCTTCATCCAGCTGCTCCTGGGACAGTGCAGAGGAGAGGGTGGGTGTCACGCAGCAGGAGTGAAAACCTCAGGGGCAGCTGCTTGTGTGGCTGTCAGGGGACCCTGATGTCTTGGAGAAGACACATCTGATGCCATGGATGCTCTGACCTGGAGGGAGCACTGGGCCTTTTAAGAGCTTGTTAAATCCATGGATTGGTTGGGGCAGGACACTGAGCTTTACACAGAAGGGACATCTGATGCAGGGATAGATTTTAACCCAGCAAAGCTTCAGAACGATGCAGATGCCAACAGGAGGGAAGCATTGGATGGTACATTGTAGTGACCATTGCTGAAGGGCTCTTGACCATCCAGGGTGGCCACCCCTGTCGTGCTTATGCCTACAGAGTATCTGGGAGCTGTGGGAGTTCTGTTTGCCCTGCAACACTCTTGCAACCAGTTCCCCTGGAGCAGTTTTACATTTTCCCTGTGGGAACAGTACTCTGAATTTCTTGAGCTTGTTTGGGCGTAAAATCTGAATTAGGCACTGAGTGTAAATTTGGAGACTTTGAGTCTGTTCCTGACTTGCTTGCTCTGGTGTCCTTGGTTGAGCTCAGATCTTATTGCTGGAGGAGCCCTCACTTTCCATGCATATGAAATTTGGGTTGTATGTCAAATGAGCTTACCCAGCCCAATAAGCTCTTTGCAAATTTGGCAGGAACGCCAGCCTTGCCGGGCTGTTGTCGATCTCTTGTGCAGGGGTTGTGTTGGGCATGTGCAGCTGGCAGCAAACCCAGCACCAGCAGGAAGTGTCATGCAGCCAGCACTGGGACATGGCTAGGTTTGCCTGCTCAGCCCCCTTTGATGTTTTTGTTCCACCTGAGCTCCTTGCTCCTTGTCAAGGACTCCTGGGACATGACAGGAGACCTAGCAAGGGGCTAAGGCACTGGGAAATATGCTGAGACAGAGCTAGGCATCATTCCCATGCATTCTTCCCAAAACCATTGTGGTTTGGATGGGGACAGAGGGAGCTGGGAGGGGAAGGTGTATGCAGGGGTTTGCTACCAGCAGTGCCACAGGAGTCCTCCAGGCCAGGGCCAGGGACAAGCCCCAAACGCTCTCGACGGGAAGCACATATTCTGTCCCCTCTGTAGCCCTCTCCTCCGGGCCCATCTGGTGAAGTCTGTCACCGGCCCTTCCCTGCGTTCAGCCTGCTCTGGGCAGCAGCCAAGGGACCAGCAGCGTCCCTGCTGCTCTTTTCCCTCCCCCGGGGCTGGAGGGATCGTGGGCTTTGATGTACAGGGACAGGGCTGGGGACGGGCTGTGTGCGCTCATGAGAGTCTGGCTAGGCTCCAGCTGCCTTTGAAGTGCTCCAGTGATCAGGATGAAAGGGAGGGGAGTCCTTCCCCAAACCATCTGGCTCTAATTGCAGGTAGAAATGCCTCTCTGCGTGTCCCCCCTCCGCCCGGCGCCGTGGGGAGGGGGCACTCCATGCTCTTCGTTAATCCCACGGCTCTCGACTGGGCTGACGCGAAGGGTGAGAGCTTGGGAACAAAAGGGGGTTTCAGCTGGGCAGCCAGAAATAGGCAGACACTGGCGGAGATGCTGGGAGTTCGGGCACCTCTGCTCTCAGCCTTGAGCTGCGGGGCCCCGCAGACCTTCCCAAGGACGCCCATGCCTCGGGGGGGCTTTGCCAGTTGTTCCCATCTCGGGTTTCTTGGGCACACTGGAGCCTGCTGGCCCCTGGAGTCCCCACGCTTCTCGTGCCAGTGCGCACCGAGTGCGGGACGAGGAACGTGGGAACGCGGTGCGAGGCGAGCGCAGTCATTTGGCAGCGTTTGCTGGCCACCTCCCTGGCCCCCGGGGGACTCCTGCTGCCTCTGGGCAAGGCTCCCTGTCTGCTGCTAGCCCTGCTCCTCCTGGGGCTGGAGGGCTAGCCATGTGCCCCTAGAGTGGCAGCAGCACTTAGAGCCACTGGCAGCACTCGCAAGTGAGTTTTGTTGACTTGTTTGGCTGGGCATATTCCCTTTCCCAAAGAGCTAAAGGTAGCTGGATTATATCTGCCATCAGTTTCTTTCCATCTTTGTGGTACCATCAGAAATTTCAGTTAAACCTCTGTAGCTTGAAGTCATCTGCCCTAATATCAATACCACAGAACAATTTATTTGGGTGAGGTTTTCCCCTTTGTCATAAAGCCCTGGTTATAAACTTTTTACATAAATATATAAAATTATTAAACATGACTTGTGGTAACTCTGTGACCAGAAGCAACCCTTGCTGTTAACCCATTTCCCGAGACTGAGAAATAGCTAAAAAGGGAGCGTGAGAAGTGGAAATCCAGACAAGATGAGTAATGGGACAGCAGAGGCGTGCAGAGAGGGTGGTGATGGGGTTGGGAAGTACCAGTCTGAATAGACCTATAGGTTCAGGTGCAGCAGAACTGAGCACTGACACAGCACAGGGCACTTGGTATTAACTTGACTGATTAACATGTTAATTGCTATCCTGATGCTGCAATAAGATGGCATGGAGGAACTGTTTGGAGCGGGAGACCAGACTCGTCTTTGCTGGGCAGTGGTTTGCTCCCTGCCCTGCACCACCACCCTCAAGAGATGTTCTCTCTGACTCGTCCCTCTCCAGGTCTCAGCATCATCCAGCCCCCGTTCAGGAGGGGACGAGGAGCTGCCACCATCGGGCAAGGCGCGGGGGCTGAGGCGCAGTGGCCAGGCTGGCCCGCGGCGGCACCGGCGCAGAGGGATGGCTCAGCAGGCTGCCAGGAGCCCAGCTCTGCCCCAGCCCAGTGGTGCTGGCCAGGAGGAGAGCCTGCCCTTCATGCTGGACCTGCAGAACTTGCCAGGGCTGGCCAATGTGGACCTGAGTGCCCAGAACCCCAACATCCAGGTAGGGAGTGGGACTGGGAAGGCCACAGGGGGATGTGGGTGAGCACTGTGGTGGAAGTGGTGCTCTCCAGCCTCATTTGGTTCCTTAAGAGAAAAGATCCCATGGGCAGGGTCTGTGTGGCCGCTGTCATCTGTTTTTTGGTGACTGCCAGCTGCAGATAGCTGTCATGGAGGAGCTCCTTGACTGAGGAATTTGTTCACAGCCTTTCCCCTGGCCCCCTGAGCCCCTCTTCACTGAGCAGGAGTAAACCCTCCTGACATGGGTGACCTCTCAATTTCTGAGTGTGGTGTTGGCCCCTGTGGGTGACCACCAGCCACCCTGTGCTTCCCACTCTGTCTCTGCTCAGTCCCTCTGGATGAGGAGAAACCATTTGCACTCCTCATACGGTCCTGCAGCCCAGAGTGTCTCTGGCCTCTTGGGCTGGGAGCCAGTGCATGGTCTGGTGGGTCTGTCCAGGGGCTGTGCCCTAGCTCACTGCCTTGCCTCATGTCTGCCCACCAGGTGACCATTGAAGTGGTGGATGATCCTCAGGCTGAGATGGAGATGGACTTGTTGAAGGAGACAAGCAATGACTGGTCTCTGACATCCTCTGAGTGGTTGTCTCACAAGGACCTATTCTGGCCCCTCTTCTGGGAATACACTGACCCTGCTGAGGGAGAGGAGGAGGAGGAAGATGAAGAGGAGGAGGAAGAGGAGGAAGAGGATGACAACCTGGACGTAGGGGACAGGGAGGAAGAAGAAGAGGATGATGATGAAGAGGAAGATTACACAGCAGAGTATGAGGAGGAGGAGTCCATGCTTAGTGGAGTAGGTGGTAACTGGGACCAGCAATGGCCTGGGCAGAAGAACTGGATCTTTAAGGAGAAATACAATTATGGTGAGTTCTCTTGGCATGTGCAGCTGCCCTGCAGACCAGCAATGCCCCCCCTGTCCTGCCTGGCCTGCAGCCCTACCAGGAATCACAGCACACTGGTGCTCAGCTCCTACTTAGAAAAAAAGCAAGCATGCCAAGGAGCGAGGCCAGTACACTCAGCTGGGGCTGTCAGCAGTCAGACATGCAGTGTCCCAGCAGGAATTGTCCTTGCATGTAATCCCACTGAAGCATGTGTGAGCCTTCTAGCGAATGCATGCTCACATGAGACATACAATGTAAATGTTTAATGACAAGTGCTGCTGCCATTGACTCAGATCCCTGTAGGGACATCAGTGCCACAAACCTTTTCCACAGACCTGGCTGCCCCCCAGAGAGAGGAGCTGTAGAGAGTTAGAGGCAGATTCTAGTGGGCAGGTGGGCCAGGGCACCACAGCAGCTCCCTCCTGCAGTTTCCTGGCCATGACCTCAAAACCAGCCAACCTTTGCTAATACATGATGTTCAGCATCATGGCCTGTGTGCAGTGATACCTGTTTGGGTTGGTATGACTGGGAGCAAAGCTGTGAGAATGAGAGCCTCTGCTCAGGGCTGCTATCCTGGGGCTGGCAGTGAGGATGGCCCTTGGCATTGTGTGGCTGGGCACCTCCGTGTGCCTCAGGCAGTACTGTCCCTGTTCAGGGATGGAGGCAGAGCTGAGGGAGGTCCTAGGTGGCTGTTGTCTCCCCTCCTGCTAAAGCTTTGCTGAGGTCCATCACCCTCTTCCCTGCTGTGCACAGACTATGAAGATGAGGAGGAGTGGAGCCCATGGTCCCCTTGCAGCATCACCTGTGGCAGTGGCAACCAGAAGAGGACCCGGTCCTGTGGCTATGCCTGTACAGCGACAGAATCAAGGACCTGCGATCTGACACACTGCCCTGGTGAGCCCCTGGCCACGTCAGTCCTTGGGTACTGTCTGACTGATGTGGGCTGGTCCCTCACTGCTGCAGGCTGGGTATTGCTCTTGCTTCAAGAATTAGTTATCACATTAATGTAATCAGGGATAATGGCCATGAAAACATGATCATGTTTCCAGAAAGAAGCTATGATTTGGCTTCATGGCTCCCGAGGCAGTTGTGTGGGGCCCAGGGGTGGTAGAGCTGGCATCAAGTTTGGTGTGTGACTTCTTGCACCTCTCTCACATTGGGAGCTCGAAATCCTCTCCTGAGGCATATTGAGAGCCAGCTCTGTCCACTGGGATTTACATAATTAACAGCCTCTGTTGGGCCAGTCTTGCTGCTGGCCTTTCCTTCCAAACACAGGGCCATGTTACCAAAGAAGTGGCAGGAGAGGGGCTGGGAGATGAATGGTGTCTGGTGCACATACAGAGGGGAAAAAAACACCATTCCTCCTGGTGTTCAAATGGGCTCTTTGTTTTGTTTTTTTCCTGTCTCAAGGAGCAGAAGGAGAAATGGCCTTCCCCACAGAAGAGACACCTTTCAAAAGTGACAACACCACAGAGCTGTTCAACTCAGGTCAGCCTCTACCTCTGCTTTGCACTGTGGGCTTCAGTGGCAGACCTTGGGAGGGTCATAGCTGGCTGGTTGGGAGGGCTTAGCCAAGGGGTCCTGTGTCTGGTATCCAGACCACCCAAACCACTGCCATGTGCAGGCTTCAGTGGTCATGCTGGGAAACCCAGCCACTCCCACAGCCGTGGTACAACACAGTCCTGCTTTAAGGTTCATGGCTGAGGCCAGCCTGCTACATGCCCTCTCCCAAGAGGGAATGTTGCCAGCCTGGCCCCAGCACAAAACCCCTTCTCTCTGGCACTGCCTTGGGGGTGGAGCCTGGCTCCAGCTCATCCCAAGAGCCCGGCTGCTCCTCCTGGCGATTGCAGGCTCCACTGGTGGTGTTGGCATGGCTTCAGGCAAATGGCAGCTGGGTAAAGTGGGGTGCAGAGCGAGCGTGCCCTCACCCTTTTGGTACCCTCTCCCAGAGGTGGACAGCTGTGAGAAGTGGCTGAACTGCAAGAGCGACTTCCTCACCAAATACCTGAGCAAGGTGCTGACGGACCTGCCCAGCTGCCCCTGCTCCTACCCGCTGGAGGCCGTCTACAGCGCTGTCAACCTGCGGGACGAGCAGCAGGGCAAGAGCTTCCGATGGCGGGATGCCAGCGGCCCCAAGGAGCGCCTGGACATCTACAAGCCGACGGCTCGCTTCTGCCTGCGCTCCATGCTCTCCCTCGACAGCACCACCCTGGCTGCCCAGCACTGCTGCTACGACGAGCACACCCGCCTCATCACCCGCGGCAAGGGGGCTGGTGTCCCCAACCTCATCAGCACCGAGTTCTCCCCGGAGCTGCACTACAAGGTGGACATGCTGCCCTGGATCCTTTGCAAGGGTGACTGGAGCCGGTATCACGCTGTCCGGCCCCCCAACAATGGGCAGCGGTGTGCTGATAACCCCACCGAGGAGGAGTACCTGTCCCAGCTGCAGGAGGCCAAGGAGTACTAGCCACAGCCACTCTCAAAGGTGCCACGACCACCACTGGCTTGCATCCCTGTGCAGCCTGGCCAGCCCTGACCCTGCTCAGGGGCTCCTCAGTGGTGCCAGGCAAAATGGGGAGGATGCACCGTCTGTCTCATCCTCAGAGAGGTGTCTCAGCCCCCCTCCGATTTCTGAGGGTGCTGGAGGTTATTGTGGTGCATTCCCTGCCATGCCACCCAAGGCAGTCCTGCAGTCCAGGGCTCCTGGGCCTGGCATGTGGAGAGCAGCCGGGGTTGGGAAGCATAAAGGGAACAAGGGGCTGCTCCTGTCTGCTTTTATTCTCTATGACCTTTGAACGCAGCCTGAAAGCTGAGCACAGGGTGAGTTGGGCTCAGCTCCTGCTGGTTTCACACCACATCTGAGGAGCTGCTGCAGGCATGGTTGCCTGCTCTTGTCTGTACACCTGCACTGGCACACACTGGTTAATGTCTGAAACTGGGGGTAGGTCTTCCTAGAGAGTGCAGGGCTGTTCCAGCCATGCATACAGAGCAGGGCCTCCCCCATCCTTGGGTTTGTGCATGCAGGATTGGGAAGGAGCAGGGAAAGGCGTATCCGGGTCCGTGGGTCTGGGGGAGGGAGCTGTGGGGCAGGAGGAGACTGCCTGCCTGGATTTCCTTGGCAGGATTGCCTAGCCACCAGGGTTTTGGCTGCCAAAGCTGCACACAGGTGGACTTCAGAGGAGGTCAGCATGGGGACACACCATCTGTGTGCATTTCAGCCTCTCTGCCTTGGGGGAGCAGGGTGGTAGCATCTGTGCAAGTCACAGCACTGGCCTTCTACCAGACCTTGGCCCCTTGGCAGTTCCCAGAGGGTCTCAGGAGCACCTGTGACACAGCCCAAAAGAAAGTCCTGTGTTTTCCACTGACATCCCTGCCAGGGGCAGGAGGCACCTTGGCCACTGCTCATGCTATTGCTGGTGAGGAACAAAAAGCACTGAGCCAAGCCAGGCCCTGCTCCATGCCGAGTCTGCCCATGTCCCCAGATGCTCCATTCTGTGTCTGCCCAGGTCCCCACCTGGAGGCAGCCCAGACAAACCAAACCAAGCCATGGATGCCTCAGGCTCGCTTCCAGGCCAGGCTCACAAGTGTGGCTCCAGAGGAGGAACACACACACGTGCTAATAGAGTCAATATCTAGTGTCCACAGACCAGGGATTGTGATGCTCTCTGTTGGCACTTTGATCATCTTGCCTGAGTTTTATTCAGCTTTTCACAGGTCCATGGCAGTGTGTCCCAGAATATTTTGGAAGCTTTTCTGCAGAGAAACTAGGCTGAGCACCTTCATCCCTGGACATTCAGTTTCTGAACTGGCAAAAAATTTATAGCTTTTATTTAACAACTTTTTATGCGTCAGGGGAAATAAAAGTCAAGCACACATAAAGAAGAATGGAGTCATTTCTACATTAGAGGTTTCATGCAAGGCTGTTACCTACTCCGTGTACTTCTGCAGGGCACTGTTGAACCCAAACTGGTTGCAGAGGTCCTTAGTTGACCGTCCTGTGCTGTCTGTCCTTCTTACAGGCGCTTTCTCCAGCCTCAGTGAATGTCCTTGGTCTGAAAACTCTTTGGGGAGTCTTTCTGGGAGCGTCTTTGTATCTGTTGAGTGTACGTTGATCCATTTGCCTTGGTTACTGATAGAATATTGCATCCTTGGTCATCCATACCTAAGACTTCATAGCTGGTAAAACAAAAGTATTAATGAAGTTATCACTGAATTATTCTTACTCAACTATTATTACACCCTTGTATCCCTAGACTCTGGATATGGGTTCTATCAAAATACAGGCAGACATCATCCATTTCCCAACAGACATGCAGTCTGAGACGACCAGTGTTCTATAAATGGTGAGAAGGAAGAAAACCAAATAAACATGGATGGAGACCTAGACCTTGGAACATTTTCATGATCACTACATGTTCTCTAGCCCAGATGGTCATTCACTCACTAGTTTCTGGCAAAGAGGTAGTCATATAGAGGTGGTCAGGAGGGGGTGACAGTGATCTGGTTGCTTAGTTCTGGGAGCCAGGGAGCCTCAGCAAGAGACATGGAAGCAAACAAATGCATCTGAAGCCATGGAAGGACAAACTTGTTAACTGCAGTCATTCAGCATTCCACTCCCATACCATATAACGTCATTAAAATCATCAAACTCTCCATGGAATTTATTTACCATCAGGGCAGATTTCTTTAAAGCAACCTCCTGTTGAAAGTGCCTAGTGTTCAGTATTGGACCTGTATATGGAAGCAAGACTTCTACAAACAGTCTTTCCTGAAGAAGACTTGCCAGAGCTCACCCAATTTTTTTGTTAGACTGGCTGCTCTTTAAGGAAGTGCTCTTATAGTAAGAGTGTTACCCAGGATTTTTACTGTCCTCCTCTATACACTGGATAAGTCAACCAGTCTAACCCCCAGAAAAAAACTTGTGCTTTCTGTAATAACTGGAGTTCCAAGGGCAAGTAAAAAAATTTCTTGTATTGATATTCCCCATCCCCTGATGCCCCCACAAAAGCTAGTTGAGAGCCAAGTAGCTGTTCTGCTTTGTTGCCTCTGTGGTTTGGACAATACAGGCACAAACTGGAGCATGAGAAACAAGCACCATTGTTCCTCATACAAGCACCTTACACACCGTGAGGCTTTGGAGAGCACCGTGAAAAAAGTAGACATTAAGCAAGTGTTTATTTTTATATCCTGTCAAAGATTCTGTCCAGCCCACTGCTATTTAAGTTATGAATCTCTAAGCTTTCACTCCTAAAGTTTATTGGTTTTTTTATATATATAATATATATATAAAATGTCTTTTATTCCTACAGAATTTCACAGAGAATTCTTTAATCTGATGCTGCAATAAAGCACTTTATATATGTATATGTCATGCTGATGTCATTCAGTTGTGACTGAAGCATGTGTTGCTATTTATTTTGGTTGAGAGGGATGATACTGTGCTTAATGCTGTATGTCTTGGGTTCCCCGGCCCAGCTGGGGGGCCCTGATGGCTTAACATTTGCATTTGAAGTTGTTTGGCTGCAAAAGTCACAGGTAAGAAAGACTTTCTGGAGCCTGTGGGATATCTGAAGTTCTGCTTACAGGGAAGCAAGTCTCCTACAAGAAGACTCTCAGGGTCAGTGCTGAGAATCAAATGCATTGCCTGCATCTCAGCTCTGACCTTGGGTTTTATTCCATGGTCAGCCTGGCCAGAGCTGGGTACTGCCTGATTGTCCAGCTCACCACTTTAAGCAAGAGTATTAGGCATGGAAGCAGGAGGAGAAAAACCCCAGTATCATCCCAGCTGTAAAACTGGTTTGGCAAACCACCTCCAGAGCCAACAGCTAATTATAGCAGGGGGATTTGCAAAGCTTTCCAGGGATCACAACTTTTTGTTGCTGTTAATTTAGTGCGTAAATCATAAACACTTTCAAGCTCTTGCTGTTTCCAGCTGTTTCCCCTCTTTCTCTCTTGCTCCTTTGCCTTTGTGCTGGCTGCACATCTGTCAGGGGATATCTGCTACTCTAGCATGGGACACTGCTGGCCTCTGCCTGGGGGCAGCAGGCGACTCCTCTCAGTGAAAGATGCCAGGGGCTTCCTACTGGCCTTCTGCAACATCAAAAACATTGTTGCATGGAGCCCAAGCCAGGGGGAGCGGGCTGAGCTCCCCTCTGCTCAGAGAAAATCACTCTTTCCCTGGAGGGGCAGTCAGCAGTTACTGCTATGTATGTAACATGCCTAATGTGCTTTTATCCTCTGCAACAAGGTCCTTGCTGTGTTGGATGATGAACACTGCTGTGAAACTCCTGGGATATAGAAATCCCACAGCCAGAGGATGAAAGCAGGAAGAATTCCTGCCCTAATTTTGCAGGTGTTGAAGACCTGGAGATGTCACCTGAAATCATAGAGTGAGTCTGTGACAGTCTTAAGCTGCATTTTTGCCTGCTGCTTTGATCACAAAAGTTCTCAACCAGTTGCTCTTGAGTTGTCTTAGTCTGCCAGCCTGAACTGGAGCTGAGCTGGACCAGTCCCCTGGCATCCAGTGTACAGTGGTGTTTTCTGCACACAGAGGGAGCTGTGCCCAGATTTTGGTGGGGCACAGGTGGAGTGAATAAAGCCCATCTCTCAGGATGAACATGAGATTTTGTAGGAGCATGTTTACAGCAACAGAGATCTCATCACCTGTCTGATTTTTTGCAGGGCTCCAGCTTCAAGAATCTGCTTCTTAGAAAGCACACAAAAAGCTGGGCCCAGAAGGATCTCCTCTGGAAGGAGAAACAGAATGATAATGCCAGGAGAGTTTAGCCAAAGTCGGTGCAGCAGGCCTGAACTGCAATGCCTGGTATTAACCTAGGAAAGAGCAAGGTTTGGTTGTGGTCTGTGGATCTTGAATTAAAACTGTAGTCCTAGAGAAGAAACAAATCATTCAGACACCCCTGTTCTGGCCTGTGAAGGGACACACCCCTCTGTGTGGCCAAGTTACTCTTCTGTGCTGGTGGCACACTTCTGGAGCAGACTAGAAGAAAAACAAACCCCAACATGCTGCAGTATTTCAGCTGTAGTCCTGCTGACCTGACTTTTTCACTTGGCCAAGATCGTTTTTGATACTAAACTTGTCTCCTAAACTTGTCTTTTACAGCACCGGTGGTAATGTAATTTTTTATTTTTTTACTTTTAAGCTATCAAGTATATTCTCTTGTATGCCAAAATGTACTGGATTCATTGCAGCTTTATCAGGCCTTCCCTTATTTACTAATAAAACTATTATATAGAGCATTGCCTATAGTTTTAAAAAAGTTCAAAGACCCCTTTTGGTTTATTGTTGATTGGTTGCTCCTTGCTCATCTCCATGTGCCTCATAGCACCATAGTCAGTGAGGATCTACCTCTGACTTTCATCACTGTGAAAAATTAACTTATTTTTTCTGGTTTTTTAACCTTTGTTTTCTTTAATTTACAAGACTCTCCCTCTTATTCTATGTCAGAT